CATAAAAGATCAAGATAAGAAAATGGGATTGCTGCAGGCTTCATGTTTCTTAGAGGACTGTCAAAATTGACATGAGGGCATGTCAAAAATGCACCAGCCCCTGCTCATCCCTTCTCCCTCTTCTTCCCAGTGGCTGCTGCTGAATGGGATTGCTGCAGGCTTCATGTTTCTTAGAGGACTGTCAAAATTGACATGAGGGCATGTCAAAAATGCACCAGCCCCTGCTCATCCCTTCTCCCTCTTCTTCCCAGTGGCTGCTGCTGAGCCACGACAGATCCGCTGTGGCTGGGACACCCTGGTGGGCCAGGCCCCCTCCAAGTGCCTCCCCTTGGATCTGTGGACACAGGATGCTCTTCCCCCCTTGCTCCATCCCACGCTGAGCCACCAGCCCTGCCTCCCCGGAAGCCTCATGCCACCCTCTCCGGTGGACCAGGGGTCAAGGCAGGCAGGGAATGCCCTTCTCTCTCCTCTGGGCTGGGCTTCTTTCCACTCCCTCCTCCTCTCTCCCCACCCCAGAACAGGAGGAGGACAAGCAGCATGGGCTGCCTGTGCATCCTGGCACCCAGCTCGGCAGGAGTGAAGGAGCAGACTGGGGCCAGCTGTGAAGCAGGGAGAGGCCCAAGCTGCAAAAGGAAGAGAGGGGGGGACTCGTATCACTTGCTCTAATGCTGTCCCATCCCTGCTGGCACGCATTGCCCATCTCCGCACATGCCTGGGAGCATCAGCAGGTACTGCCGTGCTTGGGCAGAGGCAGCGGGTTCCTGGGGAGACAGAGTGGCCTTCTGGGAGGAGGAAGGGCCATACTCTTCCTCTTGAAGCCCTTGCACTGCACTCATCACCACTAAGCACGACCAAAGCATGGAGCCCACTGGCTCCTTCTGCGTGGCCTTCAACACATCCCCTCCACTTCCATGCCCCTGCCTTTGCCCCACCACTGGGTCAAGTGCTGCAACTTAAGCACTGAATGTTGGGGGCTCCCCCACCATGTGAACACGTGCCACCCTGTAGTGCAGCAGAAGCTCCTCTTCTCCACGCGGACACAGCAATGCCACCACCGTCACAGAGGTTTGGCCTTCCCTCCCATCCCTGGGAGCTCTGGGGGCATCCACTGCCCATAATGGCCCACAGCAGGGCTGGGGGAAGCCGGCACCCAAGAGGCGATGTCTTCTCCCGGAGAGGAGGGGGCAGTGGTTGGGGGGAGGATGTTCTCCTGCACACAGTTGAGGTTTTTTCCCCCCCTTTCCCTCACCTTCCTATGCTGTTGCACTCTCGTCTTCCCTTGGGCTCCTTTGCCCACTGCAGATGGGCTCCAGTGCCAACGTATTTGCACTTCTCTGCCCTCCTCCCCTCCCCTTCTTCTGGAGTAACAAGGTGGCTCCAGCTTGGCAGTGGGTGACAGCCCATCCTTTGACCTGTAGAGGCAGGCCAGCAGTCAGCTTCCCCCAGGCCCCCTGTCGTCACTGGAGGACATGCCTGCAGCAATAACCACTGCTGCCCACCCGGCAGCTCTGCTTCCTCACCCCGCTCACTGCGCACTCCGGGAATAAACTAAGATCTGTTGAATGTGTGGTCCAGGCAGTAACTTGGGGGTCGCATCCTCCCTCCGCTCGCCCTGGCCGGGGCTGGTGGGATGAGATGCGGAGCCAAGCCCAAGGCACTCTGCTAGGACATGCCTGCAGCAATAACCACTGCTGCCCACCCGGCAGCTCTGCTTCCTCACCCCGCTCACTGCGCACTCCGGGAATAAACTAAGATCTGTTGAATGTGTGGTCCAGGCAGTAACTTGGGGGTCGCATCCTCCCTCCGCTCGCCCTGGCCGGGGCTGGTGGGATGAGATGCGGAGCCAAGCCCAAGGCACTCTGCTTGCCCGTGCAACCCCAAAGCCCCTGAGAAACAAGGGCTTGAGGCAGGGGGACAGGCTGGGACACAGGGTCGAGCATGCAGAACTGTCATTGCTGTCCCAGCTGTGGGGCCTTGTCACACACACACAGGCCCAATTGTAGGGCACGGTGACGCCCTGGCTTTGGGATGACAGGTGCCCCCCGGCGTAGCCTTACCAGAAGCCCCCTCCCTCCCTCCCTCTGGGTGCCAGCTGGCAAATCCCTTCCCTCGCTGGCCGGGCAGCTGGCAGGCCAGCATCGGCAGGGGGG